TCCTCAAGCTGGGATGTTTGCCTGGGAAGTTTAGTTACAAAAAATTGTGTATAGTAAAATGTTGAAAATTGATGATTTGTGTGATGTTGCTGATGATTACGCCAACGTCCTCGAGACTACCTCTCGACGTATAGACGATAGAGACATATTAATAAAATAAAAATATTTCATTGATGGAACACAATTTGATGGAAAAAGGATGGATCACAAAACATACTGAAACTGTATTCCATACTAGGCTAACATGTTTAAACGCTGTCTTCCATTATACAGGCGTATGTTACTATAATACAGCAAAAATATGAAGCATGAATAACTTGGAATCGAATCAGCGTGTACTTTTCTATAGAGGTGTTTTTATTATTTTAATAACATATTTAGCAAAAATTAAAAAATAACAGTGAGTTTGTGTGAGAATGTGTGTGCTTGTTTATGAGTGTGTGTAAGTGTATTGTGTGTTGTTTGTGTTGTGTGGTTTGTGTGTGAGGTGTATGTTATTAGTGTCTGTCAAAGTCGTGTGCAATGTAATGATTCTATTCTACATGTGTGAGTAAATTCTCTATCATTTGATAGTCTAATTGTTGTATCCAATCTGTTATTCTGATTTTCACTTCATGGCGATTCAGACCTGAAATATTTAGGTTTTTGACTAAATTATATATTTTTAGAGCTTATACTATAGACTTGACGTCTAATAAAGGACGTTTTGCAGCGAGTGCTTGGGAAAATGTTTTTCTCGTGCCACCTATTGGAGTCAGGGGCTGAAAGAGTTTGGTGCTTGCTTAAAGCTATTCGGTGAATGAATAGTTGGGAAACTGTTAAGACTTTTATGTCTAAATAGAGACTAACAGTAGGATATGTGTAAGGTTTTTTTGATAGAACTTTTAGTACTACTCTCTGAGCACGTTCAAGGCTGATTAAATAAGATTTGGCTGCAGTTCCCCTTCCAGTGATGCAGAATTGGATGATGGGCTGACCAAGTGCCAAATATATTAATTTTAGCTTTGATGGAGGGGTAACGTCAGTGATTTAAATAAGTAAATGAGACGTCTTACATGAGCTGTCATCTGGGCAATATGTTTGTCCCATTTTAGTCCACAATGTAACAACACGCCGAGGTATTTAATGGAATCAGCTATGGTAATTACGTTGCAGGTGCATGTGTTTGGTGTAGAGCAGATGTGTGCCTTTATGGAGAAGTTTTGAGGGGAACTACCAACTTCTATGATCGAGAAGGGAATATAATGTGTTTTTAACAGGATCAGTGTTAGTAGGTTTTTGTTTAGCCAGTTCATTATTATAAACAGGGAGTGTTCTGCTCTCTTCTTTACTATTTGCTGGTCTGGTGAATAAAACCACATTAATAGACTACATATTGTTGACCATAATAGAATATTCCTGTCAACTAGGCACTTTATGAATTGAGAAAAAAATTACATTGTGTTAAAAGCAGTGTTGTCCGTGTAGTGACGGATTAAGAATACGGAATGTCACTATCCCAATTCATCCCGTGGGTGTCGTATGAGCCGACTAAGGGCGCAAAACAACGCAGGCCACCAGCACTGCAAAAAGAAGGAAAACTTGACACAAACCCTATACCAACCCGTCTGGCCAGCGTGGTATAGTAGGCCAAAACCTCCTTTCTAAGGAGAGGCCTATGTCCAGTAGTGGACTATTAAAGGTTGTTGATGATGTGAAGCAAAAGCAGGTAAAAAGGGAAAGTAAGGACAATGCCAGTAACGCATTTCAGTCATTGTTTACTGTCAGGAATACAAAAAACTTGTACTTTAGTGTAATATTTAGATGGCGTATTGCGTCGTTTTGAAATTAGAGTTCATGTTTGTTCAACTGATCTCGAGGGTGAAACAGGTAGTACAAATATCACCTTTTATGTACCTCGTAATGGCCAAAGAAGCTACACTCGACATTTTTTTTTAATTGGCGTGTTTATATGAAATACATATATTTAGACAGGAAACGTTTCTAATTACAAAATTTGAGCCAAATACGAGTAGGCGTTTATGAAATACGCGAAGTATATCTCGTATATACTAGAGATCACCTGGCACTTGTTTTCGACTATTTTGGACCAATACAACATGTATTGTCATTGTATAGGCGTTTGTACTATGACAGGTCAATTTATATTTACAATAATATATGTACTGCAGGCTTTTACTTTTATGTAGCCTTTTTAGCTTAACTTTTAACTTCATTGTACATTTTATTTTGAAATTCTTCTACATATTATAAGTATTCCAAATATGAAGAGTATCTATGCTTCATATTGGTTTAATAACAAGGGGTGTAAAGAATTTTCTTCACGTATGTTCGTAGGTAGGATGTCCGTGTAGTGACGGATTAAGAATACGGAATGTCACTACCCCAATTCATCCCGTGGGTGTCGTAAGAGCCGACTAAGGGCGCAAAACAACGCAGGACACCAGCACTGCAAAAAGAAGGAAAACTTGACACAAACCCTATACCAACCCGCCTATACCTATACCAGGCCCGAGAGGCCTATGTCCAGCAGTGGACTATTAAAGGCTGTCGATGTGTGATGATGTGTTCGTAGGTCCTCTTTTTCAAGGAGAGGTCTATATCCAGCAGTGAACTACTAAAGGCTGCTGCTGATGATGCTGCGGCGGATGCTGATGATGATTAACATATGAGTATAGGTGCTAGATTTCCCCGTTTAAAGTTATAAGATAGATACTGGCAGATTATATGAGGCTTGTATATAAAGATACAAAAACGTTATTAAATATTATTGTTACATCGACCCTGCCCTAAAAATATATATAATCTAGTTTAAAGCCAAAAAATTGAATAGAATTGTCATAAGAAACAATCGGCAAACGTTTTGTCTGGCACTCTGCGGTACAAATGAACATTAGCCGTATTGGAAAAGCGAATCCTCGATAAATATCGAATTTCAAGAGCCAGTGCTGCACGAAAGGGATTAGAATATAAGAAGATTTAGTTCAATCATATTCTGTATTAGTTTGGTTATTAGTATATTACACAGAACTATAGTTTTTTGGTATTTTACTGTTATTACATTAATTATATTTATTTCTCTACTTAATTTAGAGAAATGCAACAGATTTAAACCTTTGGGTAAGTGAAGATTTATTTAATACGTATTTATTAGCAGTGTCACCTTGTGACCCTCCAAACAGTTTCATAATATTACTTTTAAATACATTGACACATTGTAAGACGCCAGATAATAAGTTATTGTTTTATTTATTTGTACATCTTTTGTACACCGCTACAGTATATATTGTACAGACATGGTTGGAGATGTACATTTTGGTGTGACAATAGGCGGTCTTATCGCTCATGGCGATCTCTTGTATACAACCTTTACACGGGACACGAGGTACAGTATTAAAGGGATAAGATATATGAATGGTCACACTGTTTTTAAAATATTCTCAATACTGGAGTTCTCTGATTCACAACATTAAAAAAAAACACTGGCACTCCGGGAGTGCCGAAAGAAGTGAAAACTTATATACTTTTATACAGAGGTGTCGGTAACGGTAACAGTGTCACGAGTTTAATTGTTTTTTCTATCTCAAAAAATGCCCAACGCGCTTAAAAAAGTTTTCACCTCAAAAACCTCTTTTTGGTTTGGTATTATTAACATGAAATTAAATTATCCTACTGCGCATGATCTTGTATAACGGCAGAAAAATAAAATTGACTGGCAACATTCTGTAGACTTCAGATTTTCCTTTGTTATGAGGCAGCCGGCATTGTGTTCATTCGCCCCGGACCGTGATATTGGAGTGGCATCTCGATATAAGGCAATATTGGCATCAGACACGAAACAGGTGTACCTATTCTTTGGTGTTGTTAATAGTTTGGATGGACGGTTATCGTGAGGTTTTATTTTTCTTTCTTTAGTAATAAAGATAACTGCAAGAATGGACGAAGATCTGCATGGAAAAATAAAGTTATAGATAGCTGATAGATAAATATGATCAAGGAAAGCTCTTTGCACCTAAAACACACATTAAACAAGTTACCTTTCAAATAAAAATCTAAGTGATGATGAGAAACACGCTTTCTTTTTGCACCTGCGTATAAATAAAACACAAAGGCCGTCGTGTTTTTAGTGTAATTGTAGTGCTGTTGTTTTAAAATTGAAGAGAAAACTTATGATGAATTAATAAATTAAATAATTGATGTCCTAAAATATCGATGTTTAAGAACTAGTCGCTAATAACAAGGTAGGTAGGTAGTATGTACGAAATTCTAAGAATTTCTGTATTCTGAGATGGGTAGGCCACAATTATATCGGTCGGTTACATTGTCTACGTGATTCGTAGCATATCTACGTAAACCTTGTAGCATTGAAACTTCGTAGCATATTTACACCCATTGAACAGAGGCCCGTTACCGTAGCAGAATTACGCATTTGCTAAGCAAATATTTTTGTGTGATGATTTGTAGAAAAAATAAGGGTTTCTTCTCTCTTCCACCCATTTCCAAAATATTATTATTATTTCGTAGTAATGACAGCATTAATGAAATATCGCTTAGAAGTACTAGTTGTTTCTTAAATATAGATTTCAGATATATTTGCAAATACTTTTATGATAATCATACTGTATACGTATCGATTCAAACTAAGAACTTCACGACCGAGTACATTCCATTTAAAATTATTTTAACAAGTGCTGTAAACTATAAGAACATGTAATACAGCTGAACGACAAGATACTAGACTAGTTACTAGTAACAATATGTTTCAAATTTATTTCTTTGTGCTGATAATAATAATAAGGAGCAGAAAAATATAAGATATCTTTAAAATTGTTTTTTAAGAAGTACAAAAGGTAGAATGACCTGACTGAGGGTCCTATAAAATAAAGAAAATCACAATTACAATAACATATCAACGGCGTTTGAAACAAAAGCATTGCTATAACCACTCTTATTTTCTTCTATTTAACTATTTCACAAAAACAGAAGAACAAATGACTCACCTTCATACAACCAATCTGGTACTCCATTATGAATTGTTCCTGGAACACCAGTATCCGTGACGCGATATCCCGTCGAAGACCTAGGAGCCGGCCTGTAGTATATATCGTAGTCTTTGACGGTGATAAGCCCATGGCCTTTGGGTGTCCACGTTGCGAGGAGTAACGAAGGTCCTTCGGTGATTACTCCGCCTCCCACTTCATCGGGTAATGGTGTGAGAGGGTAAGATTCACTGCGGACAAAAAAATATATTATTAAAAGGCCTATCGTCATGATTAAGAATATTATATCTTAAATCTATAAAAGAAGCAACTGAGCGATTCATTGACTGATCAATCAACATACACCTGAAACCGCTGGGTCTAGAAGCATGCAATTTTGCACAAATGTTCCTTAAGTGACGAGGTTTGCACTGAGAAAGGATTTTTAACATTTCCACCCCACCCACACCTCACCAAAATGGGGGTTGTAAATTTACATGAAACTTTGTTATTTTTGGCAGTAGAGTTTTTAAACTCACATTAAACACTCACTATTAAAAAATAAAAATGTTGTTACAAAATTGAATTATTTATTTAAGTTATTTATTCCAAACTCTCAGTATAATTATTATGATGTCCGATGTTGACCACCAAGCGGACGAAGTCGCAGGCAAAAACACAATTCCGTCCCATTGCCGAAAATTATCCCCACATATTACAGGAAATAGGACTATCCCTCCCACACGAGGACTGTACCTCCTGTACACCAGGATCAACAACAGTGACCCACGAACACACAGAGTTATGACACTCGGGAAGTCCCAGGAAAAAATTAAACTGTCTTGGAACCCTCATCGAAATTAATCAGAAGAAAATTTTGTTTGAGTTGGAAATACCTTAAATTACAGGAAAGTCAGATAAAAGATGTCATACATAAAAAATATGCCATCATTAAATGACACTATTGTACGTGAATACGTATTCCACGCTCGTAACACGTACGAGTGCTTATTATGTCACCCAAAAGCGTCATCGCCAGAGGGATAGTATGAGCGCGCATAATATAGTTTACTCAACTGTTGGTTTGTTATCAGTAGATTGTCACTCAAATACAATTGTTACTCTAACACAATTGTCAGTCTAACAGCCAACGATGTTAACTAATTATAAAACGAGATTATAAGTTAGTCTTGGACCCTTTTCATGTCATGAACTATCTAATACCAAATCGTTAAAGACACCGACGAACCATTGTTTTTGTTTTTAAAGACAACGTCGCATTAGGAATATATCCTGTGTCGCGGGAGACGTAAGTAACTACCGCTGCTTGCAACTAGAAAGTCTCAAGTGCGTTGTTACCCTTTGAGTCTTTCCTCAAGATCAGGGGGAGGAGGTTTTCGAGAGTTTTTCCATAAATTGGTGAAAGATTTTTATAAATCGATTTAGTGGTTAAGGTGTGAAAGCGTAACAAACAAACAATCTTACTTTCACATTCATAATATACCAGCTTTTGCCCGCGGCTCCACCCGCTTGTATGACGGTTATCGCGGTAAAAAGTAGCCTACGTTACTCGCTGATAATGTAGCTTTCCATTGGTGAAAGATTTTTTTTAAATCAGTTTAATGGTTAAGGCGTGAAAGCGTAATAAACAAACAAACTCACTTTCACATTTATAAGTATGGAAGTAATAACTATGTTGCGTTATAAAGCTCGGACTTTCGAGTCTGACAATAGTCAGTTCGAGTTACGTGACCTGCTCGGCCTAATCCTTACATTCTATCTGTCTGTATATATACCTTCCCTTCTTTTGCCTGCCTTTCTTTCATTTTATTTTACTTCTAAGTTTGGCATCCAATTTAAAAAGCTATAAGCTTGCTATTACGTAAGTGGTACCATAATTATAGCAGGCAAAATATGATTCTTAAATACGCCTCGGGAAATATAGATGTCAGAGTGTATATGTAAATAACACCACTAAATGGCCAATACTAGAGCGAAAAAAAGATCCTATTGAAAAAGATTTCATTCTTTTCAAAATGAAAAATGCGACCTTGAAACTAATTCCCACCTTTGAAACATAATGCAATCTTTTGGGTCTTGGAAGCAATGTCTGATTTATTTTTTTATTTTCTTTTGTAACAAAAGGCCGAGGAAAAGTAAGCTAAGCGAGAACAAAGCCTTGTAGGCATTATGTTTTCAGTTTTATTTTGACTTTTAAAATGGAAACATTTAATAAAATCATCTGGTAGGTTTTAAGAAAATTCTTTTGTAGTAATACTCGTAAATATGAATATAATATGCAATTCGCAGAGACAAAAGCGTGTAAATTGCCAATGGTCAGAATAATTAATAATCTAAACGTTTATTAAGAAAAAAGCACTCTTTTCTTCTGTTAAAACGTTTACGAAAGTCTAGTAGACAAGATCTTTGTAACTTAATTATTTTTACCAACAGTTTTAACAAAAGAAAGCAAAAATATTAGGAAATTATGTCAAGCTCCACCGTAGTTGCGTCATAAAACTGAGGCACTTTATAGTTCAAGTACTGTTACATAAGATGTTTTAATATCAGTAAAATACTTTTAGATACGAGAGAAACCAAGGGAGTCCCACGCAGTTATTACGTACTAGCTTACCCGCGCAACTTCGTCTTTGTCTTTTTGTTATGGAAGAGGGGATGACTTTTAGCTCGTGCAAGCGGGTCACCTGATGGAAAGAGACAACTGCTGCCCACCTACAACTCAGTAGTCACAAGCGCGTTGCCGGCCTTTGAGGAAGGAGTACGCTTTTTTCTTGAAGTTTTAAGGGTCGTATCGGGCCGGTAAGATGATAATTTGTTCCACAGATTAGTTGTGCGAGGCAAAAAGTGTCTTGAAAAGCGCAAGTGGTGGAGTGCCAAGTAATGATGAAAAGTTTAGCGTGTGGAACAATGGCGGCAATTTGCGTCCGGATTTAGTCTGAACAATTCCTCAGAGCACTCTCCATATTTTAGCTATCAACTATTTAAGTCGCTTTTCGTTGGATGCGGTTAACAGGGAGAAGCTGGTACTGGTACTGGGGTTTCTCAACAGAAATATTTTTTCCCTATTTTCGGATCATTTTTCATTTATGCTCTGCTGCTATTGGTCGTAGCGAGACCTTAGATAGCTTATAGCCTTCCTCAATAAATGGGCTATTCAATACTAAAATATTTTTAAATTCCAATTAGTGGTTCCCGAGATTAGTGCGTATAACCAAACAAACAAACTCGTCAGCTTTTTAAAATTAGCATAGATTAAGAAAATGAAAGAATTGGATTATGTTATATTAAGGCATTTTAATAACGTAAAATTTAACGGAATCTTCTTTATATTTTCTAAAGGAAAAGGAATTTAAACTATACAATCTAGATATTTTTAGATAAATTTATTTACCAATATTTTATACGAACGTGCTCCATAAATATATTATGTCTCAAGATCATATCAGGGCGTTCTACTCCGATGTGATACGTAAACTGAAAAATATAAGCTCATGAAGCAAGACTTCAAAATATGACTTCAGTCATACAATAGATATGTATGTACATTGATATTGTGTACCCGTGTACTACAAGACTATAGTCTAGAACTTAAGAGGCTAGCTACATAATTTTGAACTTTAAATCTAATATCTTTGGGTTGAAATTTATTTGTACATCTTAAGGCATCTTAACAGAATATCTCGGCACAACGGTGTGGTATTAAAGGCCCGATTTATGGACATATTAGCTTTTATGTAGCCCTGGTACCTGCGATTACGTAGCGTTGTTCTGGTAGTGTTTGTATAGGAACACGCTTCAAGTATATCTTATTTGTTTAGGCAATTAGCATAACCTTACATACAGTATTTGTTTCGGAAAGAAAAAAAAAGGTTTTATAAAAATATATAATAAGTACTACACTTTGAAAGAATGTGATCGCAAAGAAAACATACTTTACCGCCATCTCACGAAGACGCATGCAACTACGGAGTAACCAGTAAAACGCGCAATAAAAGTTTTCGAGTCGATTTGAACAGATATATACAATACTAGCATTTGCCCGCGGCTCCACCGTGTATGTCAGTTATCACAGTAAATAATGGCTTTTATTTTGTCAAGAATCAAATTATCTCCATACCAAAGTTCATCTAAATCGGTTCAGCGGTTATTGATTCCTCATACAAACTTCTACCCTTTAAATAATGATTTTTGGGATAAAAACTTTCTTATGTCTATACCCGGGACTTAAACTATCTCTATACCAAATTTCATCTAAATAGGTTTAGCGGTGTAATCGTGCAGAGGTAACAGACGGACAGACAGACACACTTTCGTATTTATAATATTAGTATGTATCCCGACATTCACCGTTGGGCCAGGCCTGTGAAGTATGATCACATTGCATTTTCCCATTGCGTTTGTGATTTTTCAAGGACAAAAAACCCTTATTCCACAACAGTAGTATCGATTTTGATATCAAAACCTCAATGCTAACCTTTAATAAGACGGGATCAATTTAGTTGTAAGACTATTACTTTATGAGTATTTTAAGTATAGGCATAGTGAAACAGAGGCTACAAGACAAGCTGTTTTAAACCCTTAAACCCTACTATAGCCTACCAAAGCCTACAATAGACAACATAACTATACTCGTACTACCTTTTTGACCAAAACTATCGTAGTACAAAGTAATAAAATACAACTTGACTGAATACAGTTATTTGAACAAAACAATTATTTATTATTGACTTGGGACCTGTTTCTATGTACAGAAATATTCTAAGTCCGAATCACTACGTGACTTGTTCTCATTTATATTTGTTTTACCTTATCGATCTGACTTGTTCTCTGGCGTTTTTAACTGGGCTCACAATATATGAAAAGTTTCGAAACTATACGGTTATATAGGTAAATCTTTTAATGTACAAGAAGTCTATGTATCTATTTGTAAGTTATGTTTACAAACATAAGATGTAATTAATGTATTTCGAATGTCAGAGCATGTATAAAGTCATTGTTAAATCAACATATTAACAAATTTTAATATCGTTGTTAGAAGAGATAAAGCAGAGGAGATTTTTAATCACTCAAGTCCACGATGTAAGTAATAACAGTTACTAGTGTCAATAAAAACAGTAGCAACTCTTTTCCTTTCCAATCGCAAGATGTTGCATGTTATTACAGAAATAGCCCAATCGCTAAAATAGGGCTTTAATTATGACTTTGATGATCTCTCTCTCTGTTCCTGACT